TTTTTATATTAAAAGCAAACAAGCAAGCCCAGCCCAGATTTAAAAAGTAACGCAAAAGTAACATAACGCATTACTTTCAATAAAAAGTAACTAAGTAACGTAATTAGTTACTTTTTTAGGAAGTAACGCAATATTGTAATGCATTACTTTTAAAAGTAACTTTCCCCAACACTGGTTATCCTTTCTAAGAAGTTCCTTCGTAGTTAATCATGCTTATTTGAAAGAAAGTCTATCCACCTTTATTTTAATGTAAGAGTGAGCACTGCCATTTGTAACTTGAATGTGCAAGACTTCCGGTGCCAGTCTTTTCCAGCTAGTTTAGCTGAACAAAAACAGTCTGTTAAGTGATATTGCAAACTGGTGTTTGTTATTTTATTATTTTAATGTATTATCTTAATCACACAGGTTTGTAGTGCAAATAGTTTTACAGTTTAAAGCTCTTGTTATTCTTCTAGTTACTTACCTCTAGTGGCTAACAAAGCAGAAGTCTTGTATATTTAAAGAAAATGGCTTACTTCGGAGTTGCAAAATAAGGCGGATAGTAGAGTTCCTCAGTTATTTTTCTCCAAGGACCAAATTCTGTCCTTAATACATAACCAAGGCCTATGTGGTCCCACTGCTGCCAATTTTCCCAATAGTATTTTGACACACTGGGTTGGCATTTGGCAGGAAAAAAAGCCATGGAAGCCAGTATAAACTGGACCAGAGATAGCACCCAACCTAAAAAGCCTGAGGTATAGTAAATAACATGCTATAAGTTTGCTGTTTTATATAGAGACAAAGATTGAGGACCTAAACCAACGCAAAAGGTAATGTATTTAGGCACTGATTCTTCTAGAACACCATGTCAGTTTCACACTAGTTTTCTAGTAAGTGGAGGAGCTGACGTGTTCAGTTGTTAAGCATTTTTTACGTTGGTTTCTCAGGCCTGGTGCAAAAGGCAAAGAAAGCCAAAGACAAGCTGTTAAAGTGGGATGGAGATGAGCGGACAGACAGCAGCTATAAATCGTTTTATTATGGAGGAGTGGACCCCTACATGTGGGAGCCGCAGGAGCTCGGTAAGATTCTTACTACCAAAGACAGATTTAAAAAACAAAATTAAGACAAGCAAGATTTTTTTTATAAAAATATATAAGATGCAAAGCAAGGCAAGCTGGTCCTGTATCATTGGGTGTTAACAAAAGTTGTCATTGTCAGACTGTAATAAGTCTTCTGTTAAAATAGGAGCCACCCGCAGTCACGTGGATTTTTTCAAGAAGCAGAGAGCTGCAAGAATTGACCATTATGTGATTGAAGTCAACAAATGCATTATACGACTGGAAAAGGTGATTATTTGTATAAGTATGTGAAAACAGACATAAACGCTTTGCCATGCATACTGCAAGTGCATGGTTTTTTTGTACAGTACACGCTTGATGTCTGTTGTTGTGTTACTGTGGCTGTAACAAACCTCAGTACTCAAAGGAACATTAAGTTATTATTTATAAAATATTCAAAATATTATGTTATTATTCAGGAAGCTAGCAAACTTGCTATGTCAGTAGTTGACCTGAAAGACAAAACCGACTTTTCAGTTTACACCTATGTAAAGCTTGACTTGTGCCAAAGCTTGAAATATAGCAAATACTTGAAATGTGTTCCAACACATTTTGGAACATGAACTTGCATAGCTAGAAATGTCTGGATTCACATACGTAAGCAGATTTGAACAATCTGATACATTTAGGTGATTGATTAAATGTTGAATAGAACTGTCCATTTGATCAAATTGTTTCACATTGCTACTTGGCTTTTCATTTGGCAGCTAACATCCTTTGACAGAACCAACATGGATGCAGCGCAAATAAGATGTATGTGAACAAAATAACACACGTGCTTGGTACCATTTAAAGAATGACTTAAAATGTGACTACTATGTTACTTTGTTTTCTCAGCACTTGAGAAGTCAGTGGTATCGTGGGTGAATGATCAGGATGTGCCATTTTGCCCTGATTGTGGGGGCAAATTCAACATCCGCAACCGCCGCCACCATTGCAGACTCTGTGGGTCCATTATGTGCAGAAAGTGCACAGAGTTTATTCCTCTGCCACTGGCATGTGAGTTACACATGTATAAATATGTTAGATGAAATGGAAAGTACTATACATTAAGACTTTCTTCAGTAAATCCTGTGTCCTGCCTTTTTTGACTTGAACAGAATGGATTGCATATGCTTTTTTTTTCTAGAAAATAGTGAGTTGCCTTTCTGTATACTGCCTGCATTGTCAGATACAGGACAGCATTCTGACTGAAATGCAATCCGATATGTTACTGATTTGGGAGAGTCATATAGTAGTGATGGGAGGTCCAATTGATTTCTGTGAAGCAGTTATTTTGGGCAGTTTGTTTCATATGTGAGTAAAGTGACATATCTGACGCAGTAACTCATGGTACCTGCAAGGAGTTGGAGGGGATGGGGATTTAGTGTTTAGCATATTTGCTCCTTTCGGCTATTATAATAGTCTCAATTTCCTTTTCCCCATCGGATAAAACAATCAAGTCATAAACGTATTTCTTAAAGAGGTCATATGATGCTGCTAAAAAGAACATTATTTTGTGTGTTTGGTGTAATGAAATGTGTTTA